AAAAAGTACTAGACTTGAGGTGTTTTTGGATTCAAAGCAGGTCTGGAGTGCTAAGAGGTAAACTCTGAAGGCATGCTTAGACGAGGTGGAAAGGTTGTTGGCGTTAGAGTGGAGTTTGTGGGATGCTGATAGATCTATTCTTCAGTTAGACTTAGATGTAGCCCGAGAAGAAATGAGTCGAACCGAGAAAATCTAAGCAGAATTTTCTCAGCAAAACAAGGAAGAGATCCCCAAGCTACGATGACAATATTAAGAGGATATCGTGCAGGAGTACAATTAAGGATATCTTGACGGTTACAAGAGCAAAGATCACCGCGATAGATGAGACTCTAGTCGTTTATTGGAGGAGATACGAGAAGCTGATTTGTCGGTGCCTTTTACTCTCGTTATTAATGCATCAAAGCTTGCCTTGTCGGAATGAAGTGAGTCTGCCGGGTAGGGGAAGGGGATAGCAGAAGGAGGGGGTGCATTCGCTGTCAAAACTGCCTTATCGGTTCTCTTCTGGCCAACTGCATATGTCACCCTAGTTTTATTCCATTGGTCGTGCTTTCGGTCTGGTGAATTCTCCAAAGTAAATTAACTTCGAAATGGTTAGTGAGTTTTATTCTGACTCGGGAAGGGGGGTAGCAGGAGGTGGGGATGCTGTCACCGTCGAAGCTGCCCTATCGGGTCTCCTCTAGCCAATTTTAAGGGAGCCACAAATGTCGACGATGCTGAAGATTCATCTTTTGTTTCTTTGCTGAGCCAGAATAAGGGCATGTCCAATTTATAACTTGAACCTTTTACCCCGGTCTGGGTTTTAAATAATTTTTCTTTGTCTGAGAACCTTTTTCTTGTTAGCGCACACCTTTATTGCTACACCTGTCGCCCTAGCTTTATTCCATTTGTCGTGCCTTCGATCTGGTCAATTCTCCAAAGTAAACTAACTTCAGAATGGTAAGTGACAACTCAGAGCATGAGTAAGCTTGTGGGTCCGAGACAGAGCCTGGCAACTCCTTTTGATGATATTGATTCGAAAGAACATCATCTCCTAAACTTGGTGTCCATAGGGGTACCCATTGGATATAAAATACTTGACTCTTAAGAAGGAGGTTATCATTGCAAATCCTTTGACAAAAGGACTAGGGCCAAAGGTATTTAATGATCATGTTGAAAGAATGGGCCTTGGTGGTAGTCCATGATGATTGTCATTTTATTTTGTTTTTTGAGGATTTGTTTAATGACAGTATTATGTTTGACACTCTAAGCTTAACAACTGAACATGTTTCTAGTGTTTCCTATTTTCCATTATATTTATACATTTATGAGATTGGATGAATGATAGCAGGAATGTCTCCAACTAAGACATTATGGGCACATATATAGTATGTATATATTTCTCACTAATAGACTGTAGTTGCCAGTGTTGTGGTACATGGAAGCGACTGCATCGCTTATTGATCAATTTATAATGAAGACTATTTTGAATTTCACTACGCGCTTAATGTTTATTTGTTAAACTAGAAAAGGCATTGTGTCATTATGGACTAAGTGAGAGAATGTAAAACCATTTTTAATATTCTAAGATGGTCCATATGGAACAGTCCATATAATGTGTAAGGTTTAATGGGTATTATTATTTGTAAATAATCTTATTAGTCAAATTATGAGAAATTGTTTCCTATCATATTACCGTGATGGGTGGTAATTGATTATGGGCTTCAAAGAAGGTCCCCTCTCTGCCTTACTTACATATATTGCATATACACATCTTATGTGCACTTGACAGAAAAACACGATTAGAGTTTTCAAGTGCAAATAGGGGCAAGTGAGGAACCTCTTTCCTCCACTGTTGACAAAACCGATTGGGATCTCGTAACGTTTGCCATCATGGATCAAGGTACGTTTTGTTGTTTATTGTATTTCCACATCTAATGCATATGTGAAAGTCGTGAAGTTCAATGATCTTGGCTTAATTTGATTTATATTTTACAGTTTCACCATTCCAAATAAGTTAGGGTGGTGGCCCCTTCTTCAGAATGTTTAGGCTAATTGGTTTGGTACTGGCAGTACCACAAGCACATTGTCCCCATGATTATGTGAAGGCTCCTCGCATGTGTTCCTCCCTCGCACGAATTTTATGAAACCAAAATCGATATAGTCCTGCCTACGGTTTCATTATTATTAATTTCATATTCTCCATGAATTTGTAGTGTGTATGCAAGTATATACCCTTCACTAAGAAGGGTATTGAATTTAATTAAATCTTTAATTTTTTTACATTTTTTCACAGAAAATAAATGCATTTATTTATTTTAAAAAGAGACAATTAATGACAAGCTACAATTATCCATCCATTTCGGAGGCCGGGATGACTCGCAGAGACATTTGAGCCTCCTCCTATCCACTAATCTGTCTTCCACACCAACAACAGGTTTCGTACCAATACCTCCAGTTTTTAGTTTGAATGATGCCTCGCAATCCGCCTTTTACCACTGAACTACCAGCTTATGGTTCATGCATTTTTTTATTTGGAAAACCCTTCTTGTACAACTATTACAAGTACAATTAAATAAAAAGGCCTAACGGGTTGCAACTACATTTAAATATAGAGGTATGATAATCACACACTTCTTTTTACTTCTCAATTAACCCTTATTAATTTTTGTCCTTTGATCTCATTCAATTCATTCGATCTGACAGTCTGAAATTAAGAGGATGTGTGGGAAGTTAAAAGAAGTGTATATAACGCACCCTTAATTATAATACAGAGAGATGACATGATTGATATGTTTTTACTCTTTAAATATCTTATATTACATATAACGTAAAATGATAATATTATGTGACGGTGTTCAGAATGCACTTAAATAAAAAAAAAAGAGTCAAAGTGAAATATTCATGTTACCTGATGCATAAGTGCAAGCAGGTCATACACCGTTCCCATCAAATGACAGCAGTCGTGTTAGCGTGTGAGTTGTCCTACTTGTCTATTCCCACTCAAGACTCAATTTTACCCACTAGTGGTGGATCCACACAGTAATACAGGGTTTTTTTTTTTATTGTTTGGTGTTTTGTTTGTTTTTGTTTTTTGTGGGTGGTGGTGCGCTCAATTTTAACCACTAATGGTGGATCCACACTGTAATACGGGGTGTTTGTTTTTTTGTGTTTTTTTGGGGAGGGATGTGCTAATTCAAACATGATGGATCCACATAGTAATACCTTCCCCCGGGGGTGGGGGCGCGGGGGAGTGGGGGTGGTGGAGGGTGGCTACTAGTGGTGGATCCACACAGAGGAAGAAAAACACAATCATATGTATATATATTTTATCGCGCCGGCTAATTTCAACATGGTGGATCCACACAGAGGAAGAAAAAAATGCAATCATATGTATATATATTTTATCATTAGATGTCTTGTGAAAATGTATTTACGTTCTAAATTGTTGGACATTTTAACCACCCCACACCAAACCAAGTTTTCAAATGAGAAACGTGAGTTTATAAGATTGCGCCAACCACATCATTTACATGAATAGGACCACACCTTGTGCGCACCAGCTAGGCTAATCTACCTTTGATGTGATGTATGCATATTTAGAAGTTTAGATATTATAGGACATAAATTTTGAGAAATATTTAGAAGTATATTATATATACAAAGTTTGTATTAAGCAAAATGTATATTTCATTTGACTTGGAGGGTATTAAGTTTTATATGATTGATATTATAAAGATAGGTTTATCAACTATCCTTTGATCATATTTGTTGGTCTAATATTTGTTTTTTTTTTTTTTTTTTTTTTGTTGTCAAACAATAAGTTTTGTTAGATTAGTCATTGACGGGGTTCAAACTCATGCCGTCACAAAGGCTCAACTTTTTTTCATCACTGTGGTATAATGCCACTTGCGTTAGTTTAATAATTAAGTAAGAAGAATTTGAAATATTTAGAAGTTGAGATATATATATATATATATATATATATATATATATATATATATATATGAAAACTAAGGAAGAAAGGCGCGGTTAGTAAACTGCAAATGCACCAAGGATTTTTTCAGATAACATAAAATTTCAGTAAGAGCGGTCAAGAATTTACATAAATTAGGCATGTCAAACGTGTCTCAAAGTGAACCTTACTTAGAAAGAACCACATGTGAAATTCCTATAGCGGGAACATGAGGGCACACATCTTAAAACACCACAACTCAATAATTACAAACTTATCACAAGTACAATACAATTCCTCAGTTACAAATATCTCACATCCAACTAACATGAAAGATAACATTCACAATGACTGAACCATGCAAGCTGAAGAACTATCGCACCACTCTATGATAATCTTGAAATTGCCAACAAAGAAGTCATGCTATGCGTTATCTCCTACAAAACTTTGAATTTCGTCCTTATAGTTCTTTATCAAGCACACGGACCACTAAAAAGACAAAAGGCTCTTCTTGAGAAAGATGGTTATAAGGTAGAGAGATGTAGAGAGGTAAGGAGATGAAGGGACCAAGAAGGATTGTTGCCCCCCAAAGGCAAAAGTTGGCGACGGAGGATTGTTTATCTGCAGCGGACCTAGCGGTTAGGTTTATGCAAATGCACCAAAGCTAAAGCAAACTAGCTGTGGTCAGGGTACAAATATAACTTAATAAATTTGTAGCTGTCACATTTCTTTTTTAAAGGGATCATAATTTGTGAATGAAAACGACAAGATTCTAATTTAGTAAATTATTTATTTGTTTCTTTCAAAATTTAGTAAGGATCAGAATAGAGTAGAGGTGGGGTTTGTGAAAGTATTAAGTTTGGGAATGAAACAGGGAAACCCAAAATATCCGAAGGATCCTCGAAATTTCGATTCTTGAAGCAAAGCAAATGGGTCCATTTTTAATCAAGGACAAAGAAAGTAATTATATAACCTAACCACACAAATATTACCTGAAGAGCCAGCTAGCCTGTACCACTATCTCTACCTATTATGTAAAGTTGACCAAAAACATGAACACATAGTATACAAACACTATATCTACCACCAACGCACCAACGCACCAACGCACCATGGCCTGCGACAAAGGATTTTCGAGTAGCTATTTTCTACTGAAGCCAGAAGAAGTTGGCTTCTTTGATCTGGTTCACATTCTGTTCTCCTCCAACGTTGAGGAAGGAAGGTATGCAGATTACTCTAAGAGTGAGGGCACAGTCACAGATGATACGATCAGCTTCAGACGCAGATGGCTTATGTTTATCTCCATCTTGGCTCAAAAGTTTCTGCAACTTGTGTCAAAGCCACTCTCAGTTTTAGGGTCGGCGACTGAAATGTGTTTGAACCTTCTGTCAAGCAACCGCAACATTTTTGTGCTCATACTCAATTCCTTCCGAGGTTCGGGTGCTAACTATTATTAATTTCCTTCCTTGTATTTATCATATTTTGGATGGACGTAATTATTCTTTGAAGTTTCTTCGAAGAATAATGATAGATAAATCAAATTTTCAAATCAAATTTATAAACCAAATGATGTGTCACCGATAAAAAATAAACACGTTAATTAACATTTACATAATAATCTAATCATTAATAACTACACCATTTAATTTACAAAATTTTGTTTAAACATTTAATCTTCATGGCATTAGCCTTTTTAAAATGGTTTGCTTTTAATATTTATTTTATTTTATTTTATTTTATTTTTATTTTTTTGGCAAACAATAAGACAATCTTCAATTACACTGAGGATAATTTGAACCTAGGTGTAGAGAAAACACACCTCTAGCCAACTTATATAATCTCATATCTGTTGCATGCTTATGATACTAGAAGATCATGATTAACGACTACCTCATTTTTTTTTCCTTTTAAAATTGAATTGTTCTTTTGATTATATATGTTAGTATGTTGAGGGTATAAATCTCATATTAGGTAAAGAAGAAATTTTGTATTCCAATATACTTATAAATAGTTGAGTTATTTCTCATATTACCAATTGATTTTATAGTAAAACATCAACTTTAGGCATATTATCTACTACTTAAAAGAGGAAACTGCATTCCAAGTCGTATAATCCATTTATGCTTTGCTCCTTTTGTTTGATAATTAATAATTTTTAGTTCATACATGTATTTGAATTGAAACATTGTTGTTCCAAAAAATAGTTTTGTTTGCAAATGTTGAGTCAGGTAAGTTAGTAAGGGTACTGTGTGCGTTTTGTGCACTCAAATTTAAAATTCTTTTTGCATCAATAGACTATGTATTAGTGTAAGTATTTTACAAAGGCAGCTTCAAGTCGAGAAACATTTACATTCAGAGTTATTGGTCTCTTAACATTAAGCTATTGACATGTGTTAAAAAGTTAATTCATTGTGTTCTGAATATATAATTTAATTAGCTATTGTCATGTCTTGAAAAATTAATTAAATTTGGTTTGTTATGTTATTTATTAAGGCAACATTACCATGGTTTAATGATACTGTGTAATAATACAAATAATTCAGATCCAACACATCAAATCAATTGAATCAATCAGTCACCCTCAATTATCGCTATTGTGGGTGAACAATTATGAAATTCCCTTGCCCGGGCCCCATACAGATTATAAAGTCCACAGCTGTCCTAATGTATCCAAAGCAGATATTTTCCTTGGACATTTGTCCCCAGAAATTTTGTATGCTTCAGGTCGTATAATTATTTCACCTGCATTTATAATATGAATACATAACAAAATTGATTATCCCAATTTAAAGGTACATAATAAAAAATAAGTACACCTCTTATAATTTAGTGAAATAATACTATATCACGGTATTTCAGATACACCTAAAAATGTCTTTATTAAGGGGTGTTCAAACCACAACAATATCGGCCTGCTTTTAAGACTATCTGGCCTATAGGGATTGATGCAAGTATTGGGCTTTTTTTGGTCGTAATGGAGAAGATCAAACTCTTCACCAGTTTTCCTACTCATCCTCATTGCTTAGCTAACCCAAGGGATCAATTAGGGTTCATACCACTGATTTTACCAACCAAGGAAACAGACCGGACCAAGATAGTTAAAAGTTTGTGATTCTTTTTCATGTAGACTAAAATGGAGATGGGTTCATGTTGTTCAGGGAAGCTGGTAAAGCCAGATAAATCATCGGCAATATTTCTGTCATTTATAGGGAATATGGACAAGCGGTTGAAGTTAGACAGTAGCATCAAACATGATGATGCCAATTACCATGCAGCACTCTCTATGATGGCTTCTAAAGCTTCTTATGAAAACAAGACCTACATTGAAACTACTGTGAATGATCACTGGAAGGTATATATAATATTTCCTTTAGCAGTTTGATTAGTACACACACACACACACACACACACACACACACACATAGCAGTTAGGGTAATGTTCTCTTGCCAAAGTTCGTTGCCAGAGTTAAATAATCTAACAATAGACAGTCTGGTAAAAGAACATTTTTATGCGTATATACATTTGTAGTGTTAAATATTGAACATATATTCTTTGTACAGTATTAAGTATTGAGTTCTACTTTTATAACACCAAAATGCAATTGCTCTTGAGCAGATGGAGTTCTTGGGATTTTATGACTTCTGGAATGGTAAGAAGCTAGTAACCTATCACTTTGTAAGTAGTTGCTGCATTCTTTTCAAATTGGCGACAAGTCTTCGTGCAATTCTTATGAAAATAATAGCATTTTGAACTACGATTCATGATGATTTTTCATTTTCTTTTCAATGCAGATTATCAACAAAAAGCCACAACACAAGCCTTCTTGCTTCGTGATAAAACTGGTGACCATGACACCATTGTTGTGGCCTTTAGGGGAACTGAACCTTTCGACGCCGATGCATGGTGCTCCGACTTTGACATCTCATGGTACGAGCTTTCAGCCGGGGTTGGAAAAATTCATGGTGGCTTTATGAAAGCTTTAGGCTTACAAAAGAATGTTGGTTGGCCTAAAGAAATCAAAAAAGAAGACGGGCAGCCAGCCGTAGCTTACTATGCCATTAGAGAGATGCTAAAAGAAATTTTGAGCCAAAATGATCAAGCGAGATACATTGTGACAGGGCATAGTTTGGGTGGGGCTCTAGCAATTCTGTTTCCTGCAGTTCTGGCTCTGCACAATGAGGCATGGTTATTGGAGAGGTTGCAAGGGGTGTATACATTTGGGCAGCCAAGGGTAGGAGATGAGAAATTTGGAGAGTTCATGAGAGAAAAATTGAAAGAGCATGGTATTCGATATTTTAGATTTGTTTATGGTAATGATATGGTGCCTAGGTTGCCTTATGATGACAAGGACTTAATGTTCAAGCATTTTGGGACATGCCTCTACTATAATCGGCAGTATGAAGTGAAGGTAAATCCACTTAAAATTATTCCTTTCAGATAACAAAAAAAACGTTTTTACTTTTAAATTTTTTTCAAAACTAATAAAAGTGATTTTTGGAATGACTAAAAGTGTTTTCTAACAATAAAAATCTCTTATGATTACATTTGCTAAAAACTCTTAAAGAACGTTTTTGGATTCTAAAAGCATTATTTTGAAGATTTCATGTAGCACATTTAAGTATTTTTCTAAAAAAGCACTTGAATTTTCTATTAAAAAAAAATTCTACATGTTTCTAATTGAATATGTAATAAATACTTGAGTTTGTAATAAAGTTCTATGTAGTAGCACACTTTTGAAGGACCATTCTCTTTTTTGGTGCTTTTATATGGGCAGGTTGTTGCAGAAGAACCGAACAAGAATTATTTTTCACCACTGGGGGCAGTACCAATGATGATAAATGCCTTCTGCGAGCTGATTAGAAGCTTCACTATTTCACGCACAAAGGGACCAGACTATAAAGAAGGATCTTTTCTAAGAATTTTTAGGGTCATTGGCTTGGTACTTCCAGGCGTTCCAGCTCATAGCACCCAAGATTATGTTAATGCTACCCGGTTGGGATCATCAAACGTATTCCTCCCATCCACAAACATACCGCAAGAAGTTTAGGGTTTAAAATCCTCACCCTTGTAAAACCATAAAAGAAGATTAATAACGGCATATATTTCGTGTGATAGTATTTCTTTTCTCAATGTTGATCATGACAAAACGACAACACGGACACAACAAGCGGACAAGAGAAATCGCTTAATAGTACTATGATATAATGTAAGGTAAAAGAATCTTATATAAATAGTATTGAGTGCAATATAGAGTGACAAAGGAGAGATTAATTTCAGAATCTTATCAATAGATGTATATAAAGTAGCTAAAGACGGATCTTTAGAATATCTGGAGACTTCCTCCCTAGCCTACAAATGGAAGTGGAACCATGTAAGAACAGGCTTGTGGGGAAATCTCCTTTATTCTAGATTCCTTTCTTTAAAAAAACTGAAAATTTGATATTACCCCTTGAAACTATATTTTCCTCTACTAAAACCCATCTTCTTTTGTTTTCTTGAATAAAGCCCATTGACTAGCCTCCAACTAAACAAATTCTTTAATTAAGTTTGACTTTTCAAATTGTGTATTTTTCGAATGCCTAAACTACCCCTATTAATACTTGGATGGGGTTTTTGGATCAGTTACTTGTTATATCCATTTAATTAATTTTATATATTTTACAAAATAATTCATGCCATTCATTGTATATTCAATGTATTAACTTTCAAATTGTTATAACGTGCCAATTGAAAAATAATAATACTAATTTCATAATTTTGTGCATTACATATATAAGTTAATTTACCTACCAACACAACAATAAACCTAAAACAGCTTCGGCTAATATTTCAATCCCTAATACACAAAACAAAAGCTATATGTTCCGCACAATACTTACCTACAAAATAGTCTATACCTATTACATCAAACCAAAATTTAAAGGGTCTAGTTTACTTTCAAAACGATCTAATTTACCTACATGATTTATGTGCATTAGATTAAAAGTTTATTTAATTGCCTACAAGCACAAACCCACAACATTCGAACATTATCTAATATCACTATTTTTTTTTTTGGAATAGGTAAATTAATTTAAATGTAGGTAAATTAGTATAATATTAATAAGTAGGTAAATTAATTTAAATGTAGGTAAATTAGTATAATATTTTATAAGTAGGTAGATTAATTTAAATGTAGGTAAATTAGTATAATATTTGTATGTAGGTAATTACATGATTCAAAATGCAGGTTTATTAGTATAATATTTTATAAGTAGATAAATTAATTTGTATGTAGGTAATTACATAATTCAAACAATATTATTTTTTTCGTACAAGATTGTCTTTCTCTTTTAAATTTGGTAAATTAATTTTTATATATTGCTAATATTTATGATACAAGAAAGGTAAAATATCCATATGGATTTAATTGCTCATCATAATTAGGATGAGTAATAACATTTATTGACCAAATTAGGATTCTATGGCATAAGTTGTAATTGTATTGTAATAGTTGGTCATATATTTGTCTACATGGTAGGCTATTTGAAATTTGGATTTTATTTGAATGTTTAAATTTAGATGGGTTTTTACTTGGAAAATAGGAGTTTGGAGGGCCTATATCCAAAGAACCCTTAAAAAAATCCCAGTTATACTAGTATCAGAGCCATCCTCTTTGGCGGCTCAAATTAACTTTTCCTCCCTCTAAAATATAGAGTAGGATTCTATCCCTTCCTCTTTTCATCCTCTTCCATTTCCTCCTCTTATATTCTCTATTTTGTCCTTTTCTTTCTATAAAAAATTAATATAAGATGTTAATATGACTTAACTGTGACCGTTCAAATAGAAAATGAGAGAAGAGGAGGGAAAAAAGAGAGGAGATAATCCTACTCCCTAAAATATAGTGTTGTCCTATACTACTCAAATTCTTAGTAAGCTCTTTTGCATCAGAACTAAATCTCAGTAAAGTTCTTTTTCAGGAGTGTCTCTCATCCTTTAGGTAGTGTTTGGTACGCAGACGGGATGGGACAAGAAGGAGCAATGGTTCCATGTTATGTTTGGTATACGTAGGACAGAACGGGAGAGTTGTTTTGTTCTGTGTTTGGTGCGCAGGACGGAAAACGAAACCAAAATATTAAAATGATTAACTTATCTCTGTTCCGTCTGTTATTTGGTAAGCTTGGGATGGGACGGAACAATTTTTTTTTTTTTTCTTCTTGCTGCTGCTTACCTAGAATATATTTTGTACACTATACTTGGACTTTGTGTTCATATATTCGTATTGTGTATAACAGAAAACAAGAGACATGTATTTGTACTTTATGTTGCTCATATAATTAATTTAGTGGGATAATACGTCAATTAATTTGAAGCGATTTAAAAAAAATAATAGGGTGAGAGCATGCCATTGGCTTGGCACATGGCAGTGTAGCCACAAGTAGAAATGTGTAAGCATTCATGCCAACCTTAATCAAGCTAACTAATCTTTGTTGATTAAAAGTTTATTCTGATTTTTCCCACAATATGTATATGGTTATGTATATGTGATGAATTACATATGAAGAGGTTAGTGTGGTAGAACAACCGTTAATGCAATGGCTATGTTGGAATCTTTGACATAATCTGCTTTCATCTCTTCGTCATCACATTGAAATGCAAATTGTGTCAAACAATATGTATAGTATAAGTTGAGCTGTGAGACAATTGGATGTCTATGGCAATGGTTGTCATGCAAGGATGAAAAATATATAAGTTTAATAATAATATCTTGTTAAAGCAATAAACATGAAATATCCAGAACTTAAACATGAAATCCCAAATTAAACATTCGTCCCGACTTAAGAAAAAAAAAAAAAGATAATGTCTTACTAAACCCTAGAAGTTGATATAGTTCATATGATACTAAATCCCCTAATGCTCAGAGGCCACCCATAAATATCTTAATGAAATTTGTCTTATGTGAGTCATCCAAGGTACACCAAATACGTATCAGATCAGTATCAATCACTAACTTCATTGAAATTTTTAGCACCTGATCATATGGGAGACCCATGACCTAAAGCTCAGAAGGTAACCTAGCTTTCGCTTCTCCGAAAGTAAAACTTTCACCTAAATTCTTCATTTCAGTAATTGCTTTATCCTAACCTTCATGGATACTAGCTACAATATTTGCATCGGCATCATTCTTATTCCTTTTCCTCTTCTTAGTAGGTTGAGATGCACTGGATGTACCAACAGAAAGAGATGGGATAGGTCAAGTCGGAGGCATCTCAGAGGTCTCATCGTAATCCTCATTTTCTAACCTCATGTTTTTTATTGCATCTACTGCTGATTTAGCCATACTACCAGTGGCTTGGTCTCTCCCAAACATCATACATAAGCGTGGATACAACATAAATAGCTTATTTCGTTTGCAAGATGCATTACGATGTTTCTACAATAAGAACCCAAAAATATCAAAGTTATGACTTTTAAAGCAACTAATTGAAAAAGAATAAGAAACAAAACGTACTTTCACCCATAGCTGTAGTACATCATCACTATCCACAAGAACATATTTTTTCTCGTCATCCCAACCAAATCCAATGGTATTCATCATGTCATATGCAGAGGAATACTTTTCTTTCAGACGCTTCAACTTGTTTTGAATATGCTTCGGCTCTATATTAATGCCCGGAATCATCTCCCTCATCTTGGTGGCAACCATTACAAATGTACCAGCCTTTAAATTTCTAGTCTCACATCTAACACCATCAACAACCATCTCCTCAAGGATGGTAAGCAGTACATCCTCCTCATGATCAATCCAATTGCGTGAGGTGGCCATATAATTTATCAAAGAAGCCATAATATTACATATGTAAAACAAAGAAACATATTGTTAGTGGAGCAAACATATATTGTTAGTGAACAATAAAGAAGCAAATTCTTTCATGTCTCTCTTTCTTGATTTTCTTTCATGCCTCTCTTTCTTTCTATCTCTTCACTCTCACCTTTTTATCTCTCCTTTCCATGACTCTTTTATCTCTTTTTCTCTCCTCCATCAAACCCAAGTAAACAGTTTGACTAATCAACACCATCCAAACCAAAAAAAAAAAAAAAAAAAAAAAAAACACATCAAGGTGATGCTTCTTTAAAACCACTAAATCAATGCTCCCAAACTGAAGCAAAACCAAAAAGCAAGCTGAAAAATGATGTAACAGATTCAATAACAAACAATAACAAACATCTACATTGAGTCTAATTACAACAACTCATTCCAGCAAATAAAAAACAACAACAAACATCTCAATAGTCTTGATATTACGAATTTTCAAGCCAATTACAACATCTACATTGAGTCCAAATCTCAATAAAAGACAATTACAACTACCATGTCAACCAATTTTCAAGCTCTCATTCCTCTCCACTCATCATATATTTCTCTTGCAAGATCATCCCTCCATTGAGTTCATGTCTGGCTTGACTCAATAGTTTCAATGTAGGCTAATACTTCTAGTAAATCTTCCCCTATAGGCAATTCATCAAATGCAAGCCTTGCATTTTCATCAAGATCAACTGCGATATACATTTTGATAAAATTATGAAGTAAACTACATGCGGTGATCATTCGTCCATGAATCTTGATTGGATAGAATGAGGGACTTCGCAAGATAGCCCATCGTCTTTTGAGGAGGTCAAAACATCTCTCAATGACATTCCTAGCACGTGAATGTTTCATATTAAAATATTCTTCATGATTCCTAGGTGCACGTGAATTGTCTTCCCACTCTTGCAAATGGTATCTAGTGCCTCTATAGGGTGCCAGAAAACCCTCACCATTTGTATATCTGGAATCAACCAAATAGTATGTACCTATATTAGTTAATAATAAATTTTAGTTGTTGGCCAACAAATGTAAGGAAGAATACTAGGTACTTGTCTATCTTACCGGTCGGGACCTTGAGGCCATTAGTTTTAGTAATAGCGTCACTAAGAACTTTCGAATCAGTAGCTAATCCCTCCCAACCGGATAACACATATATGAATTTGACGTCATGTGTGCATATGCCTAACACATTAGTTGCTATATGACCCTTCCTTGTTCTATATCTTGGTCTATCAACATCAGGCACAGTGACCTCTATGACCCT